CGTATTCATTGTGATCTCTGTCTCTTAGTTTCTTTAAAAACAAATTGTGGGTTTAATTCAACTTCTGTTTTTAACTGATAATCAAGAGAGCTAATATTTGCAGTTATACAGTCTCTCTTGTTAATTCCACTTCACGCGAAATTGCTACTTCAAAAGAATCTCAATTCCCCATTTTATTGTAAAGAGCAAGAGAGATTGAGACGTAACATTGATATATTACTATATAACCAACCGCAAAGAATACAGTGTGTTTCTTATACAACCTTATAAAGGCTAAACCAAAAAATGCCTGGTCTGGTCTGATCCGGCACATGGATGCCTCGACCGGGTTCCTTGTTAAGATGCTCCTGCTCTTTTGATGTTATCAAAACGGGACTGTGTAAGGTAAAGCGAGGACATCAGCTTCTGGTAAAAGGCGAGCACATGGCCACGCCATTGAACTGCTTAGTACTTGCTTGGACTCATTGTTTATGTTAACTTGTTTGCAACTTTCTGTGCCAAACTTGTGGCTACTTGGTTTCTTCATGAGCCACCAACATTCTTCATCTTCAGAGTTAGTGAGCTCTACTCTTCTCTCGACTGTGTTAGGGACCCAATTCTCAACTACATTCAAGAATTGCACTGCCATTGATGGAGGGCAAATCCTGCATAGGCTTGAAGGTTGGGAAGTTTCTTGAGCAGTGGATGATGATATCTTCTCTTTACTCGATTTCTTTGTTAAAGTATGATCTTTCCTTTTATCTTCACGTGGCTTTGACGGAAGTTTTGGTGCGGATGTGGAACAAGGATGTTGATTAACCGGCTGCTCTCTAGTAGTAGCAAGCTGAGAGGGATCTAACTTTATTTCCCGGGGAGGACACGGTTTTTGTTGATCCTTGTTAGTCACCGTCATCACCTCGGGATCTTTCTGCCTTCGTATAGGCAATCGGATCCGAATGATGCTTTCTTCAATATCAACAATATTTGAAGAAAGAATGTCATCAATGTCCTGAAAAGGTAAATAGACCGAACACGAATACTAGATCCTTCCCCGGGAAAGGAAGAAACATAAACAAACTCACCAGAGTCGTTGTTATGTCTACCATCGAGCGGTAGCGGCTGCTTCTGCTTCGGTATCTCACTGCCATTGCTATTAAGAGTGCTATCACAAGAGTTTTGGGACGTCGACTGAAGCAGCTCACGTTCCACAGTAAGACTACTCTTCTCCAAACAATCGATTTCGCTTTCTTTTAGCTTGCGAAAAACATCAACTTTCTGAATCTGACCATCAACTTTCGCACCTTCTTCTTTCCGCCGTCTCTTATGACTGTGTTTTTCGTTATCACCTTCCTTTATTTCCCTCTCCTTCCTCTTTTTCTCCTTCTTCTCTTTCTTCTCCTTCTTCTCTCTTTTTCTCTCCTTCCTCCTTTGTTCTTTCTTAGCTTTCTCATCCTCTACCCCCTGAATTTACAAAAGCGACCGAACAACGATTAGTTCACAGAACTTTGCCAAATTCAATGAAAATCAGAGACAACCACTCATCAGATGGATCAATACTTAAACTCCAAATGCGTACCCCCCAATGATTTCTGCACATTTACTCAACCGACTATTGTTTTTTTTTTCAATGTAGTTAAATTGTATTTCTGATTAACATTGCCATCTTAAACGAACCGATTGATTTGTGACATTGAATCGTATTCAAGCTTTGAATCATAATAGTGGACTAGTAATTTCTGAATCATCGTTTTCAATAGAAATACTCTTATCTCCAATTTCCATAAGAATTCAACGAACCCTAGAACACAGATACCAGAAAACTGGAGACCATGTTCGAGAACCAAAAACACACACAAGGAAGCTGAGCATTCAAAATCGCATGACGCTAAAACCGAAGAAGCCATGTGATTTTAAAATGCTCAAACAAACCTTGATCGATTCGATCATAGCCACATCGCGGATTCCGTTAAGTACATAACCAGGAGGCGGGAACGGGAAACACCGAGACATCTTTCCGATTACACAAACGAATCCAAGCCAAAAAACCAAAAACAAACTTTGGATTGCGAAGATGAATCGGAATCAATACGGGACAAATCTCAGATCTCGAAAAAAAGACCAGCGAAACCCTAGATCGATCACGAGAGAGACCTCGAGTGGGTTTACACAAGTAGGGGCTTATAATAGCGCGCCAAAATCAAAATCTTAAGAAGTTACAGTAGATTAAGCCATGGATCGGGAACGGAGAAGAACGAAAGGAGTTGCCAGATCTCGAATCCCTTCGAAGCTTTCCGATGAAAAAAGTGTTGTTTGTTAACACATAGATGCTATATTTATAGCCAAAAAAAGATTTTGACCCTACAAGGGACAATGGGCTTGTTTGGATACAGAGATAGGTGCCGGCTAATCCGCAGCGGCCTTTATGGTGGTTGGGGCCTGTAAGTGCATAACAAGGCCCAAATATTTCAGAGGCCTTTAGAAATCAAAAATCGATTTGTTATTTTGGTACGGTATACTACCGTATTCAATTTTGGGACGGTTCAATTCACGAGAAAGTTAAAGAGTCTTATTTATACAAACCATACAAGAAGAAGAAAGCAAGCAAAAGCAATAAAGGGTAAAAAAAAAGCCACTGATCCAGATAAAATATACAAAACTCGAACTGACCAATTAAAAAAAAAGCACTTATTATGACAAACTCAGATAACTAAAAACCCTTAAGATGATACTAAGAGATTGCCATTGTAAATCTAAAACCCTGACCTAGCACTGCTACAAAACTTGCATGCTACTTACTCTATA